CTTGCGCACTTAAACTAATTGCTATGCACTTTATCCTTTCAATTGCAATGAATAAAATTATATGAATAAATGTGCAACAATTTACATAGTAATACTATACAAATGAGTACAGCATATGTTATTTTAATATTCTTCTATTATAGTAATTTAAATCTAAAGATTTAAAGAAAGCTTACATTGCCTTAATGAAATATAGCTATATTTGCTTTCATTTAGGTTTCAAAGAATGTTCACATAAACATAAATGTATTCTTTAAATCTTTTATGATTTCAGTTTTTTATGTAGTTTTGCATTTAAACTGTTACTTCGGTAACATTAAATCTTCTTATCTGTAAGATCAAATTATGTAGTTTTATTAAATAATTTTAGCATCCAATGCAGTCTTATGCAAGGTAGTGTGAGGAAAATACGATTTGTGCAGTTTAGTGAAAAAATAAGTAAAAAATAAATCAAAAATGAAATTTAGGATAAATTCCGTGTAACACGTTACGTCTTATGTTGAAATTTTTCTGTGTTTCTACGGTTTCACTAATTTCACCGCAGAAACAGATTAAATAAGTTTCAGTAGCTGTATAGATTCTAAGCTTAGAGAGAGCTATAGCAATTTTAATTTTAAAACGAACTACAGCACTCCAAATATTTGTAATAGGGGAACCGGAAAGTAATGTCGCTTTCTTATATTAAATTCACACGAATAAATTTTTAACACGGTTTTATTTTTAATCAATAATGTAATCACTCTCGTTATTAACAACATTTTGCCATCTAGTATGCAGATTTTCAATTCCCGGACCGATATAAATCAATTGGGTTTTGAGTAAAATATCTCAAGATGGCATTATGGACATCATTCAAATTTTCAAATCTTTTGGCACTAAGAAAATCTTGTAGGGATCGGAATAAATGGAAATCCAAGTGTACGATATCGGGGAGTATAGTGGGTGATGCAGCACCTCCCATCTCAATTCATTCATTTTTTCCAGTGTCCGTCTTACACAGTGCGGTCTTGCATTGTCGTGTTGCAGAATGATGCCTTTTCTATTGACAATCGACGGATATTTTTCGATTAAAGATTGATTCACTCGATCCAACTGTTCACAATAAAGATCTGCATTAACAGTTTGTCCAGGTTTCGGCAATTCAAAATGAACAATTCTGCGAATACTCCACCAAACACACAGAAGCACATTTTTGGATGCAAACCCTTTGTAACCCTTATTAAAACTGCCTTTTGCGCTTTGGATTATCACATAGGACCCATTTTTCGTCTCCAGTAATCAAGTGATCGAAAAGCGGCTCTATATGGTGCCGTTGAAGCAATACGTTGCATGTGATGGATCGGTTGGCTTTGTTCACTTCGGACAGATTATGGGGTACTCAAACACCTGCTTTGCTTATTTTTCCATTCTACTTTAAATTTGGATGGTCGAAGAAGGTTGGTTAAGAGTGTTTGACATGGATTTACTTCCACTTCTGCCCTTAGCATGTTATTGTCGACATGCGCAGAAACGGCATTACTTTCCGGTTCCCCTATTATTTGCAATACTTCCATGTAACTTGCATGGATATTCTAGGAAAACATTCTAGAGGAACGTAAAAACATTCTATCATTCTCCAAAACATTCTAACTGAATATTCTGAATCACATACGTATACTATTAGAATTTTGTAAGAGCAATAACAAGTCAAATACCAGTACTACTGTTATTTTTCAAACATTGCTAAAACGTTCCTGGAAAACTAAATATGAATTTTTCATCAGGGCTTAAGAAGTGGCATCATCTTACACGTATGCCTAGCGTATGCTACATTGTAAAAAGGAATCATGGACTCATCATGGAATCATGGATTAATTCACTAGCTCTAACGTGAATAACACATATGTTTATAAACACACATCAGAGTATCCTAAAAAATATCAATACTATGGTATCAAAGAACATGTAATCTATCTTCAAATAACATTGTTCTTTCGCCAAAGAATATCTTCATCTTCCTTTCTGCTATTTACTAACGTAATATAGAACGAACAAAGTTCAATACTTTCTTACAGTGCTATTTAAGGACGTAATTAATACACAATGTTTTACTTGCATGTAATGTTATTATAATTTAATTGCTTTTCGATTGATAGCAATGGTTGTATTTGTAAAGTACATAGCACGTACTTTTGTGTTAAACTGTTTCAAAAATGTACGGAAAGTACTAGTATTTAGTAGACAGAGTCGTGCTCTTAACATGGTTATAACATCGCATGTTACAGACCGGTATAAAATCACTTAGCACTGTCTTAGAATGATTGGCCCATTCTTCTTTCCATGCGCTGTGAATGTTCCGATTCTGCCTGGGGCGCGTTGGGTTAGATTAAGTTAGACTAGGCTGACTAATTGTTTATGATAAAGAACACAGATCGTATCTGCCTAAGGGTAGGGATGCTTTGATGGAGGAGTTTATAAAGAAATAGTACATTTACATCACATTACATTTTAGGAAATCTTAACTCGAAGGAATATCGGTAAGAATATTTAAGGGAGAGGTATAATAGCAAATAGTGTATCTTAAAATTCCATATAAAGTATTCGACATAAAACACTGACAACAATGGAACTTCAAGAAAATATGAAGCGCACGTCCTGAGATAATGCAATTAAAGTGCTTTGTTTACAAGTCACGTTCCTAAGACTATAGAAGCAGGTTTTATCCGCAAACAGAAAATATCCGAAGCGGTCACTCGCGCAAGCTTATTATCTGGTCTGGAGAAAAAATCTCAAGTTCAGAAGCCTATCACAAACTCTATCTTAAAGAAATCTTTAAATCACGGCAATAGTAACACCAATAGTGATGCGTAAGTATTTGAAAAACGCTACGGCGATAATAAAGTGTCAGTATTTAAATTATAACATTAATTTATTATTAGTGATATAATGTAAATACAGGAAAACACTTTTTTCAACAGTATTTTTTGTTGTTCTGAACGTTAAATGCAATTTATGAAAATATATTTAATATCTAGCAAATAGCAGCCAATGTTGGCTGGCCTCGGACATGATTTGTTCTATCCAAGAAATTATTATAATATCAGTTCCAACTCTTGAATTGCTTGTCGAATATTGGCTTACAAAGTTGCATGATTCCTAACATATTTGTAATCATCTATCCTTTTAAGCAACCTTACAATTCCATTACATCTGATCATGATATGATTTGAATGACCTGTTAGAATTCAAAAATCGAGAAATTAAGAGACAGTCAAATTTTTTGGCACGGCGTTTTCCCAACTCGGCGCACGGTTGAAACACTCGGCGTTTTCCCAACGTTAAATAAATCAAAGTATGTTCATTGAATCAAAATAATAATGTGTTGATTTTCAGTGCAAAAGTGAGTAGTTTCGATCTTAGCTTTGTTTGTCTGACAACGGACCGTACTAGACATTCGATCCTTATACGATCCCAGGCGAAATGGCTGACTCCATGTTTCATTTTGACTTGTCTTGTGGAGTAGCCAAGCTGATACAATAGTTCAAGTCGGTCCGTATGTCCATCTTGCAACCACAGTTTCCATATTCGCATTACTGCGGCTTGAAATAATGTAGAAAGTGAACCAATTTCCACAATCATATAACACATAAGATAATTAGTCTATAATATGTAAGATATTTCCCAATTTGTTTCCCGCCAGACTCACAAACTTGCTGGAAAATTTATCGTTTTCGTCGATGAGACATATTGTAGTTCCCATCAACGCTAGCAATTAAATCAGCGAGGACATACGTAACTCTAGTATTTAAAATATCTTGCTTTTCGCTGTTTTACAGAGTTTCTGGTTTTCATTACTAATTATCCGCATAATTTTCACGTCCTATCGAGATCTATGGGTAATGCAAATTTCACTTCTGTTGGATAATTCCTTCACAGTGTTCCATATTGGATAGTCAGCGGTATTCATTAAATGAAATGAAGTTTTAAACAACTTCTAAACTGGTTTTGCTCCTACTGAGATATTTCAATTCACAATGGATATTTTTAGCTGCAGTTTACATATAACGGGCGAATTTGTACTTTAAGCATTTCTGTCCTCCTCGCAGCGTTTGCCACCTTCATGAGATATCATTATTTTATCATTACTAGAGATTGTTTTACTGTTCACCGCCAGAACTCTCATTGTCTGTCAATAGTGAAACAATTTCATGTGTTCATCGTCATGTGTTTTCGCAGTCGACTGTTTACTTTGAGACCTTGATGGAGGTAACTGCCAAGGCATCTTAGTTTCTATAACTCAATTAGCATCTTGTAAATATATTACAAGGGGGTTCTTCTAACACTTATAAATAATATTTTGAGACTATTTAGTTATTTCTTATATATATATATATTCGCCTAAAAACCCCATGGCTGAAAATTTAAAACCAAGTAGCATAATCAAAACGGCAGAGAAAAAGGCCAAAGTGAAACATAAAATTCACAAAACAAATTTTGTGTTTGTTGCAGATTTTAGTCAATACTCTATCGATTTCGAGGGCAAACAGCAACATGTTACTTTTTATCAGGAGCAAAGAAATCTACAACGAAAGAAAAGCCACGGTTGTATTTATACCCAAAATGATTAAATCGAATGAGAAAATAGTGCCAACTGTCCGTAGAAAATATAATGAAAATTCAAAAATTAAGCAAATAGAATTTTGAAAGCATTAGGAATTACTGGACTGAATTTAAAATCATTAACTAAACAAGATAAATTGTGAATGTAAAAATTTTCAAGAAAATATATCACCAGGGAAAAAAGCTTTTTGGATAATTTTGAAGACCCTAAGTCAAAATTATAATTAAATTTCCAACAATTATTTAATTGTTTATTTTTCAACTTTGATTACTATTTTTGTCGACAGATGGCCTTAAATTCTCGTTCACTTCACTCCTTTTGAGTATAAATACAACGGTGGTTTTCGCCTTGTTGCAGATTTCGTTACTCCTTAGAAGAGGGACCTGTATCCTTTTGCGAATATCGGTACAGTCTTGACTAAAATCCTCACCAGACACAAGGTTGTGGCTTTGTTAATTTTACATCTACTATATGATAAGCTTTTTGAATTAGAGCTATCTTCGTTCAGAGACGATTTAGAAATTTAAATTTGGTGTATGCTTTCTAAGAGGCTTAAATATTATCATTACCTAATCGTCATAAGTAGAAAGCTTACTATTTCTTAAATTAGATTTTTCTACCAATCGTTCAGAAGATATAAACATATGCAATCATTTCGAAACAACAAGCAGCTTGATGGATAAAAGAATTCCTTTCTACTTTAAACTATCTTAATATTAATGATGTGATGTATGGTGCCCAAATCTAAAATTTTGGTTTTTGTTTCAGATTGATCCACGCTTGAACTGTGAACAAGAAATTGTTGAAGAAATGAGGTTAGATTATATTTTTCAATTCCAGTTTCACTGGTTTCATTTGATTAGATCTTGTATGTATAGCTTAATTCAGTTGAACATCTTACATTTTATGTACAAAACGAAAATGTAAAATACGAAGAACAAGATCAAGTCTAAACTGAGTTTTCGAATTTTTTATTATTTATATAGAGTATTTGTTAATTAGTGAAACTTCAAACTCTACATCTTCTAAACTACACGCTTAAGATTCTATCATGAGAAAGAGGTTTCGAAATTCATGATGGTAAAATTTTCTTTGGGGTACTTAGTGTATTCTAGAGATGTCAGATAATATTTTGTCAGAATGATGGTAAACTATTAAATATTAGCGATAATCAGAGCTTTTATGAACTGACGTCTTCTGTATATTCCAACATTTGCTATGACTGGTCATTTTGTTCAGTTTAATTTGTTAAAAAAATAATCCGCTTTAGTGCAATGCTTTTGTTATTTTTGATTTCGTCACTCTCAAAACATTTTTTGAATATTTATATACATTGTAGTATTTGTGAAGCAAATGAAAAGCAGTTACGTCACCTTAATTAATTAGAAGAATTTTTAATCACCTGTACAATGATAACAAAAAACCTAAATTAAAAATGTGGAGTATACTATTTTAAATAATGCAAATATCAAAGGATGACTAAATACATTTATAATTATTTTTAAAATTTGAATAATTTTCATCAGAATGCATATCTTCATTATTAATTCGATAATGAGCTGTAGCTATATTAAAATAGTCAGATAATGAGAATCATAGAATTTTCGAACGAAATAGCTTATTTATTGAAATCATCAAACGTATAGCAGGGGAAGAGAGTCCTGTTAGTTAGTAAAATAATTTGCTTTTAGAACAAATGCGAAAGGAATGTAGTTTTAATGGCATTTCGAACTCAGTATTGAGAACCTTAATGGAATTTTAACCATAAAATCAATTTTATTACCCTAAAGTAATATGAATGATTTCCCATTATTGAAATTTTATTAAAGTTAAACAGAGTTATGTACTGTTGATTTTCCATAAGATTTGCAAATAATAAGCTGCATGTTTCGTACTTTAAATGATGTTGTAGTAAGTTTCTGAGAAGTATCGAAAATCTTTTTCTACCAAATAAAGGTGATTTCTCGTATACACTCGTGCAAATGTTTTCTAGAAGATAATTAATTTTTGCTGTCGACGATAATGAAATATTCTAAAAATATCCACTTTGATTTGAATGCCGGTCCTGAAATTAAAGTGACCGATTTCTCGGATTGTGCTTCTTAGTCCCTTTTCAGATTTTGTTTTACAAATATCTCATATTTCTAAAATCGTACTTGAAATGAATTCTAGATATGCGTTAGGAAATCGCAGAGTCCATGGGAATATTGGTTTGCGAAAGAATTTCTGACATTTTCTTCTAACTGCACTTCGTACTTATAAAATCTTGTAAATTCCTGTACTTGTAAATTCGAAAGAAAACATTTTTAAAAAGGATAATTACTTGATAAGAAATTATTCAGTAAAATATTACATTTACAAAAGTATAAAATGCTTGGAAAATTAGACAGTAGTCTGAGTATAGAACTGAAATTGAGCGAGATTGTTTCCATAAATAGAACAATTATATTCTTACAAATTTGCTTACGGTGAGTAACTGTAGAAACATAGTGCGTACTTCGATAATAAATACCATTAAACCTCCCAGGGCGACCGTGAATGAAACAGTATTTTTGAGGGTATAAATAAATTTCACAGTATTTCTGAGATATATAAACAGTTTACATTAACAGTATATATTTGTAGGAATTTATATTTAACTTATAATTTTAAGTTTTATTTGAAACTTTCCTATAAGCCTTCATTCCTCTAATTGTCCGTGCCAGAATACGTAAATTTTATAGCGCGCGGGAACGAATGCAAATTTTCTACTTTGAAGGAAGTAGTTAAAAGCAGAGTTTCCGGAGGAGAAAGGAAAATTAGGCTCCAGCCGTCACTTCTGCCGTAGGTACGTTTGCTTATTGCTGGTAGAAGTGGCTTAGTTTGTTTGGTTTATTGAGATTACGGCAAAGCACACTAGGGCTATCTGCCTAAGAGGAGAGATGCCTTCGTGAAGGACTTTCTAATGGAAACTGGCTCGTATACACGTTACACATGGGGAAAGCCACGAAAACGCCCATGCAGCCAGCCCGTTCTCGGGATTCGAAACTCGGAACCTCGGACCGAACTACCAGTGTTCAGCGACTTACTCGCCAACAACCGCTCGGCCGCTGGTGGACCTATTAGTAGCTTGAAGTAGTAACTACTGATTGTGCTCTGTTCTTCTGAGAAGGGCTGTACAAGTACTTTTGTGGAAAGTTCAAGAACTGTAATGTGTTTGTTTGGAGAAAATAAATTTTATCAAGCTATCAACGGTTCTGTTTGCATTCAATCCAATACGAATCCATATGGCACCAACAATTTGTTTTCCTTTATTTAGTGAAAAATAATTCTATCTGTATGCGTAGTACAATTTTTGCATACAGTTTTATTTGCAAATTTCAGGAATATACGAAAACTTGTGACTTGATGTTTCCATTCTAAAAAAAATATATCAGATTTAAACCTCAGCATTTAATTTTTGACGAAAAATAACTAATATAAAAAGAAGAACGTATATTTTAAAGTAAGAAATTAATGAAAGTAATCTGATATATTTAATGAGATATCCTATAAAGTAATGTAAGCTACAATCAAAGATTTCATTTTCCAAAAGAAAATATTGAAAGTAAATGAGTAGTGCTCCTTATTTTGTTTAAAATCAAGAAATAAAAAAGTAAAAGACAAAATGCATATGACATTTAAAAATATCAAATTACAGTCTAATATCTCTAAGAAAAGTTTATTGCATTTAAAATTTAAATAAGAAATATGAAAAAAGCATACAATAATTTCTTTTATATTTTTAAATTCATGTAAAAGTAGTATCTACTATTGCTATATCATGAGAATAAATTTTTACAAGAAAAGGAAATTAAACTTATTTGAGAAATAATTTCTGTTTTAAAAGGTGTATTTTTTGTGAATTTCGCTTTTGATCGCGCAATAGTACAAAGCAAAAATATCAATATCTTTGATACACTTTCTTGGACATCAAGATCACCAGGTCTTTTGCCAATCGAATATTTATGAGATATGCTAAACCAGCATATTCGGGCTTCCCAAATTGTAGCGGATCTGGAGCAATAATTGAGGATTGGCTGCCAGAATGTATTGCAGAATGAGATCAGGAATTTTTATCATTTCTTACCTGAAAGTTTAAACGCATACATCACCTCCAGGAATGATTACATTAGTTGCTGATTCGAACATACAATGTGCAATTTTTAGCCACCTAATGGATGCTATAGCCTTGAAATTTTAACTCATTACCTGTGTATGATCCACGCATATCTAATTCAAATAAATACCGTCACTTTCTTTATGGTGGTCCTTTTTTTTTTTTTTTTTTTTTTTTTTTTTTTTTTCTGAAAAATTGAGAAATTTCATTCACCTTTGATTGGCTACAACAATGAAATATCTCGAACATTTTATTTTAGCAAAGATGAAAAATCAAACATTAAATATTTTTAAAACTTTTTTAAAGCTGTATTGCTACGAAATAAAAATTAGGATTTTATTTTCTTTAATTTGATAATTAATTTTCATTTAAGTCCCTACTATTACGCAAGGATAAAAATATTTCTTTTCAGTGTTTCGAAAGAAATTAAGTTCTAAAATAATAATTCGTTTTGAATGATTTTCATCACTAATTACTTAGAATAGTGTGTTGTATAGTTCTCAAAATATTTATTTAAAATTATTTCATCCCTTTTATAATAACCAGCCACATGCCTAAACAGCCGCCTAAAATAGTTATTAGAAAAAGAGAAAATATATAATGATTTTATTGAATCCAGCTAATATAATTCCCTGCTAGTAATTAATAATTATTGATCTCAATCTATTTTTATTGCTTTTAAATCGCTTAGTTAGTTAATTAATAAAAAATAATTTGAAAGAAAAACTAAGTATTGTCTAGCTTTTTTGTTTGTTGTTGAACGACAACATACTCCCATGTAGAGGTGGGCTCACCAGCGGCCGAGCGGTAAGTCGCTGAACACTGGTAGTTCGGTCCGAGGTTCAAATCCCGCGAACGGGCTGGCTGCATGGGCGTTTTCGTGGTTTTCCCCATGTGTAACGTGTATACGAGCCAGTTTGCCTTAGAAAGTCTTCCACGAAGGCATCCCTCCCCTTAGGCAGATAGCCCTAGTGAGCTTTGTCATAATTAAATACACCACCACCACCACCCATGTAGAGGAAAAAAGTATTTCAATTGGGATTGTGGCAACATATTTCTTTTATCTTGGTGAGTTTTTAGTTAGATGTGAAAGGCAAATATTTTTCGTTCTCCAAGTGGCAGACATTCTTTTTATGCTGATGTTCCTGATTTAATTTGTAACACATATTTTATGCTTTAAGGAGTGTCAACACGAAACGTTTATATCGCTGAATTTTTAAAACATAAATTACTTAATTTCACATAAATGTGAAATAAATAGCTTCGATGTAGGCATATTCTGGTAGAGGACCATGTGTTTTCAAATTTTAGTGGTTCTGGCTGCCACCAGTTTTTCACAGTGCTGTTGAATTCGAAAGACAAATATATTGCATTTTGCAAATTGTCAGTATACATCTTATATATGCATGAATTTTCTGATTAAATTTCAAACATAAATGTCTTATGCTTTGCAAAGTGGCAACACACACAAAACTACCTTGTATTCGCGCAAAATGCGAAATAAATGAACAATCTGAAAGCTTTCAGCTATTACATTGCGCCCAAAGTGGCGTATTTTCTTTTAGATGCATATACACTTTTCGAGAGCATTTCGGCTAATGTTCCTTTTGGAATAAAAATATTTGAAAACAGCTTATCTTCAGAATTTCCCGCTAGGCAATCTCGCGCGCTGGAGAT